GGAGACCCTAGTAGCTGCTTGCTCCTAGTAGCGATGCCCTTTGCTCCTAGTAGCGTCCTTGCTCCGTTCGTAGTATGGCCAGGAGCCCCTAGTAGCTGCTTGCTCCTAGTAGCGATGCCCTTTGCTCCTAGTAGCGTCCTTGCTCCTAGTAGTGCCAGGAGCTTCCTGTCAAAAATGTACTTGGCCACAGATAGAGTCATGTGGACCAATGTGTTGGCCTGGTTTCCATTCCGCAGCGCGGCAGCGCGGCTTGTTGTCACTTTTTCTGTTCACGTAGCTGGGCTAGCCCTTGTGGGGGATTGCCTGAATCTAGGTACTACCGGACTTGGCAGCGCCGTCATGGCAGCTTCACCTTAGACGCTGCCACCCCGGAGCCGGCTTAGGAGGTGCCGCTGGGGCTGTGAATGCGAATCTTTTCATTGACCAGTTGATAGAAAAGCGATGCAGTGGGGAGGCCAGCTGAGGTCAGCCATGTTTCTGGAGAGATTAAGTGATAAGATGCAAGCTGCAAGATGTTGATATCAAGACTCATAGTGGTGACATCTCGTCTTGGTGGATAGCTTGGACTCATACGTCACCACCTTGCATATCAGAGGAAGGACGCCAGCGGTAAACAAATGCGATCTTGACCATCTCTTCATGTGCTAGGCAGCTCTTGCTGCGAAGAGTGAGCCAGCGAACCGCGAGCATTTGCAAAGTGCAAAGAGCGGAAAGAATTGGGAGATATCGGAGGCTACTCAGGTTATATGAACAGAATAGACTACGAGGGAGGTAAACCTACCGAATTTGGGGCTCCAGGTGCCTTGACCCACAGCCATAGATTGAAGGGATGACCCTGGATGGAGCCTTAGGATGGCGGGAGGTCCACATTCTGCTGCCACATGAACGCTCAAATGAACACGCTGCATTGAACATGGAGTGTGCATCACACATGGACGGCCAAATAAAGAAGCATACAACACAATATTTCAGGACAAATAGCTAGATCCGGAAGCCGAACATATCCTGGGTTTCTTTGGCACCTTTCTCCACACCAGCACCTTCAGCCACGGCTAGCTCTCTCGTACAGCCTGCAGGCTCGAGGGGGGGTCACTGGGAAAAGACCAAATCAAGCAATGACATGAATGTTGGTTGAGATATGTTGAGATTAAACTGATAAACAACTCAAAAGTGATTGAACATCCATAGGATTCTGTACATGTTTGGTTGGTACAAAGTCGGGCTCCGGACTTTGATCACCTTCACCCGAACTCTTTGGTTCCGATCTCTTAATCTTCCGCATGTCTTGTCGACCTGTCTAAGATACACACAATTCCCTGCAGGGGTCGTTGGCAGGATCCATGTCAAGGTTTTCCGAAGGGTGAAGATATGTGAAGATCCTTCTTTTTTACCAGATCAAACGAATCGAAGACTGGCTTCATGAAGCCATCACCAAGCCTGCTCCCTCTTGGAGTGGATCACTCCCCCTGTCGATCCTGGGACCGATGGCCTGCGCTGGCCATCGTGAGAGCCATACCGTTCTTTGCAATGTTTTATTCCCATCGAGGCATCCTGTAGCACATCCAAGGGCAGCTCACATTTCACGATCGACCTGCTGGGGCGAAGGACGTTCCATGTCGCCAGGATGCTCTCCACCGACACGAACCAATGTGGCCTCACAGGCGAGGGGTCTGCAGCGAAGACGTCGCTTCCACGTCGAGTCGTGTGGGATGTGTAAAGCTAAAAACGAAACGGCACAGGGTTCAATGATTCTATTGGGTTACAGTAGCTGGACTTGGTACGAATAGTTGCTGATCATGTTTGACAAAGATGTCGGATTCCACCACGTTTGGAGGGCGGAGATGTTGTTACACGATGTTGTGCACTTGCACGTATCAGTCATGGCTGGATGGATGGCTAGGATGGCTATTGTGCTTCCCCCTTGAGATGAAGGCCCCTAACAGCCCTCTTCTTGACTCATTTGATTGTGGTTTCTCCAAGTTCGATCGCAATTGGGGTTTCTCAAGGCTCCAAACAAGTCGATGTGCGAGACAAGTTGCTCCGCCTGACTTGTCCTGGTGAACTCTACTCAACGAATCTGAGAATTTGAATGAGGCTTTGAGACCTTGCTCCGGACAAAGGAGATTGAACGATGAAGGGAAGCTGGACCCCTACTAACCCAGGTCATTTTGCTTTGCTGATCTTACTAGCTGAGAGTATAGCTAATTCACCTGGGGGTTCCAAACGAAGTGTGAAGCCAATCTTGTTACCTGTGCTTGGTTTCACTTTCGGACCGGATGCATTGGAGGTACCATGCCGGCAAGCACCAAGCCGCATCTCTACATCTTTGGTGGACACAGTGGAAAGGCCTGCAGAGAAGTTTGGACAGTTTTGACGCTGAATCTATCCGTCTGAACGCCCACCAGCGTCTGCCCTGTGTCTGCCCTGTGTCAGGGAATGTGCATGGCCGCCGAGATCGCAGGAAGCGACAGGCTGGACTGAAGGCTTTAAACGAGTCGAGCAAGTGATTGAGAACTCCTTGATTTTGTCCCAAAAGGAGAGCTAGGGCAGATGCCTAGAAAAAGCAGGCAGGATTTGTTTGGATGTTCGATCAGAAGTCGCCAGTAATTTAGGATCTGTCCTCAAACAGCCTCCGGGGCGATGTTGGTTAAGTCAATGAGCCGACGGGTTGATGAAAGAACCGATCACTCCATGCCTATTCAAGTGTGGAAGATCCCGCCTTCCCTATCCACGCCTCGATCTGCAAGCGTAGGTTCGTCTCAAAGTAAGGACATCAATCCTAAGCCAAACTTGGCAGGGTCAGTTGCCCAAGTAGGTAGATCCCATCTCCATTTGGGTGTGTTTAGGAAAAAAGGAGCTGGCCACACTGGCTGGCCGCGCTGAACTGTCCGGGCTAGGGTGTGGCCTTGTATTCAACTAGGGAGACCGCACCGCCGGCACGTTCCGACGCCCCTGGGTTCGGAGAAATGGACCCCAAGAGTTTTCTTGGCGAGATGAGGGGACGAAGGAAAGAAAAGGGGCGGCGACCCCTTAGGGGTCGCCACTGATGAATGGGGGCACAGTGGCGTGAATACCATGTCCTTCAATGGTCCTTTCCAAGTCAACCCAGCGGCGTTTCCCCTCCAGGACCTGTGCTATCACCACGATCTCCAAGCGGGGAAGGCCCTTGGCACCCGGACCGGCGACGGCCTTTGCTCAGGCCGGGGGGAGCTACGGGGATCAGACTTTGCATGATGCTAAAGTCGAACATCATCGTGTTTTTCCTAGTAACAAGTGCCACGCTAGTAGTAACAGGTGCCTTACTAGTAGTAACAATGTTTGCTATTAGAAACAAGTGCCTTACTACTAGTAACAAAGAGGCAGCGCACAATCATCAGCTAAGATCAGCTAAGTATATATCTGAGTTCTTGCTTCTTCGTTTGGACAAGTAGTGGCTGCACACCGTGAGGTTTGGATCAGCGGGATCCGATTCGCACGGCCTGTGGCACACACCAGGCGATGGCCAATCACACCGTGCATTACATGGCTGCCTGTGACGAGAAGGACGTCAAGGTGGCGCTTCGATACCTAGAGGGTTATCCTAAGGAGCATGGTGCTTACACAGTGTATCCTTTTTATGAACGAAAACTGTTTTCTGTGCTTTTGCATCACTTGGAACCTGTGTAAGAGGGCTGATGTTAGCGGCCTCCGCATTCCATTTGCACACTGAAGCAGCTTTTTCATTGTCACATCGGAGTTTTGCAGTTGTCTCACCTGAAAAAGGACATGAGGTCTTGACTGAAACCGTCTCCATCGAGGTGATCGTCTCGCCACCTTGCAGGCAGTGGAATGCCTTATGGAGTGGACCGCGCCCTCCATGCAGCCTGGAGCCGAGGAGGTCAATCCTCGGTGAAGCAAAAACGGAACGAAAGGATCCAAGTGGAAAATCATTTGCTTGTAGAGGACTTGCCTGGTCTTTTCAGTGATGCCTTTCCAGGCTTGGCGGAGCGTAGTTATGTACTTTGTTTGCTGTCAGACACTTGAGCGCGTTCGAAGTTTCCCAGGGTAAGTAGTGGGGATCATAGCCAAGTTGAATGTTCACTGTTGAGGGAGGGTCTGCAAGCTTGGGTAGGTAAGATGTTTTCTCCTTTCTGCTTTGTGTTATGGCCTTGGACTTAGCTACCCCTCACTAGAAACATGCATGCTTGCCTTGAGGCATATAAGTCCCCAAAATGACCCGCTGACGTAGATCTTTAATAGCTATATGGCCCATCCAAACTGGCAACTTTTTTGCGAAACAGTTGAACCAGCTGAGGCCTTTGCCTGAAGCTCGCTTCAATGTCACAGAGGCGGGCACGGTGTGGAGCAGTCTCGTGTCCACAGGGTCAAGTTCCCCTACCACAGATGCGCATCGGGTGCGCGTGGGTTCCTTTTGCCACGAATCATCTCCCGCTAAGACTTTTGTGGAGCCGTTTCGAGGCACCCGAAATGAATGGAGCCGCATTTATCCGTTCAACCTGCCGAGGTCATGGATGAAGTGAAGAAGGCAGAGCGAAGGGAGATGTGAGAGGTGGAGAAACCAATGACCCCAGCAGTTGACTCTTTGCATGGGAAATCTCACTAGCAGGATCCCTTGAAATATATAGTTGATACAATGTTGATATTAGATCGTTGCATGAAGCATCCTCAGCTCTGCAGGAGCTCAGCTTCCTAGCAAAGAACCGCGGATGAACATTACATAGTGACGTCGACATGGTAGTGTTTTCCTAGCGACCGAGCGACGCAGCGCTCTCCTTCAGCCGACGGACGTCATCACGTGTCAGCCCCTCTTTGGGCATCCAAATACCAGGCCCTAAACGACCCGGAAGACGATTGTGTTAAAATGACCCCAGGGCGGAGGTAGGTCCGGTGTCCAGGATTTGCTTAATACCTGAAACACATAGAAGAACCATAACAAAAAATAGATAACATGTGGATACAGGACCAATCTATGGCCCCCAAATGCGGTGGACATATTCAGTATTCAGTCACCAAAACAACAACCTTTTGTTAAAAAAGGCATCTCATGTGAGCACCTGTCCATTTCCAAGTCAAAATATGTATCGTCACTGAAGAAGACTGTTTTTATTGTGTTATTACCGAAGTAGAGTTCTTGATCGAATTCTTCTTCAAGTTCATCAACCTCCTGAGAGTCTGCTGTGCGCGCGCTCTGCGATAACGTGTTGTGGGGAACAGCGAAAGTACACCGGATTTTCATGCAGCCCCAATGTGCAGGGTTCTCTAGATTCCAGACTGTGCAGGACTTTTTTCAACAAACAGGTACTGTGTGCTTTGTTTTTGTGGCAAAGAATCTTGATAATATTGAAGCCTTGCGATCCGAACAAAAAACTGATTATAGTCCAAAAATGAATATGAATGGGCCCAAAAGTGGGGCTAGGCATGGCTGTAACTCATATTGTAGCCCATGATGCGGGTCCTCCAGATCGGCGGTCCGTGGCCTCAGGAGATCGCCGAAATGAACCAAGTGCAGCTCGAAAGGGCCTTGGCCACCGTCCAGGGGCTCAAGAATGCGGTGCAGAAGAACCAGAGGCCGAGGGCCTCAAGAGACGCCTGATTAGGTGAAGAACACACGGGGCTCAGTGCGTGTTCCTTTTTTTTTCGCAGACGAAAGGCCTACTATATAGTAACAGTGTGCCATGTTGTCGGTGTAGAAGCACAAAGTTGACCGTCAAAGAAGAACATGCACTGATGGGAATGGGTGACAAAGATGTAAGAAAGATTAAAGCAGACAAAGCCTCCAGAACGCCAGCTCTCTTTCTTCTTTTGGACCAGGCAGATCAAGGTCCGCTTGGACTATAAGGACTGCAGCGAGCAGGAGAAGAAGCGCCTTCAGGACATCCCTTGCTCCCAGTTCCGGTTGAGTGACATGGATATGGTTGATATGGCTGTGAGGCTGTGCGGGTTGTTTCGTTTCTCCACCAACATCCGCAGTTGGGGTAACCATGGTAATCCCTTTGACATGGTAACCCCTTTGAACTTGCCCCAAAACTTCTTTGCATGACCCTTCGAGGACATGCGGCTGGATTTGCAAGAGAAAGAGGCCGCTCTGAGTTTCGACCCGGAGATGCGAGATTCTGTTGGACTCAAGTGACGATTTCACAACCCTAAACCCTAGCCCATTGTGACTCAAGTAGATAACAATAACTCAAGTATGGACTCCTCTAGCCGTCCATTCCGTTGGATTCTTCGTTCGCCCTTTGCACACCATGGCGTTCCGTTGGAAGAGACGCCTTGTGGTGCGGTGCGTGGTGCTGAGGGCCCCATCCCGCCTTTGCCTGACTGGCCCGGTGTTCAGGCGTGCTTTCTAGAGCTGTTGGCTGACCTACAGCAGAAGGTGGGTGAGGAGGCAGCGTCGGGATCGACGCTGTTTGCCAGCTGGCTGTGACGCCCTGTTGTCCTTTGTCCAATTCTGCCAATTCGTCACGTGGAGGAGTGGAGGAGGAGTGGTTCAGATGGTTTGGAAGTATTGCGAAGTCGGCAAACTCAATTCATTCAGCACCTCTGGATCGTAGCCACGTATTGATGTGGACCAAAACAGGTTTGATTGATGCAACTGTTTGGAGTGAGTGGTCAGGGGGCAGTGATTGCAGAAAGGCTTATACAGTAGGTTCATGGAAGCCAATGGATCCACCAATTGTCAGTATTCACCCTTTGATTGTATGCAAATAGGACTTTGCTGACTGTTTGCTAATGCATGGCAATGTCACACACTTTAGTCATCAAACCATACCAAAAGCATCCAAAAGCCATACCAAACCTACATGCTCCTTGAACTAATGTAGTCATTTTTTCCCACATTTAATTCACGTCGAGCTCTATTTGGCAGGGTGCAGCAAGTGAGAAAGATCGGGTTTGAGTTCAGATGAGGTCGGCCAGGTCCAGGTATATATAGAGCCTCCAAATTAATACAGTAGATAGAAAAGTAGATCCCCACCTAAAATGAGTGGGACACCCTTTCTATCTATTTGGGACCACTTTGTAGTAGTTGTCTTGTTCCTATATCCCGAGATGCAGGCTCCTCCGGCTCCTGCAGAGCAGGCGGAGTCAGGGCAATCTTGTAAGGGCTGGGTTTGTGCACAAATCGTTCCGAAACTGCCTTCCGGTCCAGTCGGTTCAGCAGAACGGTCCAGTGGAGTTTTTGGTAGCGTCGTCAAGTGGTTGAAGACGGTTGAAGACGGTTGAAGAACCAGACTGCTTGCTTGTTTGCCTCATGTTTCAACCGGCGAGGAAAGACTCGGAAGTGCCATGTGTGCCAGAGAGAACAAGAAGTGAGACGGTTTGGTATCTGATTTTCCGGATATTTTGTATGCATTGTGTGAACTCTGACTCAGGCCTAGCCGATTTAAAGGTCATTTCTGACCATATGCACAACTCTAGTGATCACTATGAGAGGTTGCTCCATGCCCAGGCTGTTTGCCATGTGGACACCTTACTGAAGCAGATGGAGAAGGCTGGAGAAGACGAGATGCCTCTACGACCGGGTAGAAGATTTCTGCAAACGACCGGAGATTGAATGATGTTGAAGGGATACTCCGGTGAAAACTACTGGAGATGCATCATTTACCGCGCTTTCTGTTCACCGTGCCTTGTATCAATGCATGTATCGACCCAGTATGAGTTCATCGACCACCAAATATCCCATGATGTCCACTCCAACGAGTGTTTTTTTGCTACCCCACGATCAGAGGAACCTGTTGCGACTTGGCCACAAACATCACAATGCCTTGAGTCAAGAAAAGTTTCATGGTCTGAAGCTGTCCAAACCTTACAAAGCGATGGGATTGTTCCCGGTTCTCTCCAGGGTTTCGTTGGTCTCCGACTGTGAGGAACTGGCTTTGCAGAAGAGCATGTGAGGACCGTGACACGAGCTCTGAGCTGCAAAACATCACGTGGGGCGGTCTTCCGAGCGGAAAAAAAGGGCACCGCAGCTGCTGCAGGGACTGAGGACGCACGAAGAAACGCGCCGTGCGGAACTTGAGGCGCACGCCGTTCACGGCTCCCGTGGTTCAGCAGTTGGGCACCGATTGATGCGACAGTGCCAGCAGGTGCTCGTTGGATGCAGGAAGGGTTGTAGCTCCACTCACTGCGCGCGAGAACTTGAACGTGGAGCGGAAAGAGCTTGCTTGGGAGACAAGGGCAGCGAAAATTGATCGAGTGGCTCCAAGTGATTACTTGCGCCGACCGAAACCGTACTTGCGCCCAAGCCCGTTGCTGAACAGCAACCTCAACCCGTTGGACCAGATTGACCAACGTGTCAAGCTGCATGACGCGTCCAACTGTCGGTTTTCCCCGCGCCCAAGCTTTCCTGTTTTGCTTCTGCTCCAGCACCGTCCATTCCGGATGCGCACCGTCCATTCGCCCGCCTCGGTCTTGGGTCGCGCGGCTTTCGGCCAACAGCGCCAGCGGATCCAGACATTGGGTCGCGCTGGCGCGAGGTCGTTCGAGCTACATCCACGGCGGGATCCTTGTCTGTCCGACCTGTGTGCGTCGGTCAACAAGTATCAGGAGTCACAAGACGGGATGGTGTTTAGTCCCCATACGTGAGTGGAGTAGCTGGGCACCCCTTTGTGACTGCTGGCACTCACATCTACTCACTCTTGTAAGCAATCATCATCCACTGTTACTGCTAGGATATACCCAACATATGAAAAGCAATCGTTCGGCAACATGACCGTTGCTATATTGACTTCTCGGCACAACAACAATCAACACAGGCCTTTGCATAAATGCTCAAGGAAACGCCCATGATTGTTGTGAAGATTTATATATCTTGCATCCGTGGAGATGTCGTGAGGATACCAATAGTAAGGATAAATGAAAGACTACAGAAAGCTTTGCATTTACATTTTGCCGACCGTCTATGTTTGTGACGCTTGGGCATATCAAGACGACTTCTTGCTTTCAATCATATCATATAGTTGGCTCATATATTCTCTGACTCTCTCTCTCTCTCTTTCTTTGTGTTCGTGCTTTTCCAGTGTTCCATTTCATGATTTTAGTGGTGTTTGGTTCTCACTTGTTCATCACAGTCCTTGCTGTGGGCTTGCTACTTGGACAATGCTGAGCTGTTCGCCGGCGTGACAGCAACATGTGGATTGTGAACATCAAGTTCGTGACACTCCTTGCGCACGCCACAACTACGAAAACAAACTAACACAGGCGAGCTGCAAAGAAGCACTCAACAATGAGGCAGCAAATCTTGGGTCAAACCTTGCAATGCCTGTGCGAACACAAGTTGCATTTGTTGATACTTCCATTGCTTTGACACTTCGATCTATATAATATGCCGCCGACAAGCACTGCGCAACAACGCATTCTCTCCGAGCCACCATCCACGCGAGAGGCCGTGACAGCAGTCTTTAATTCATCGCTTGCTGCCTTGCCCCCATGAAAGAAGCCGATGGCTTATGCGCTGCAGCGATGCTAAGGTGTGACAGTTTCTTAGTGGTCAGCTGGTTGTGCCTTGGCACAGCAACCCAAGCCTACATGGCTCTTTATGGCTGGTTCTCTCTACTATGGCAACTCCCTGGCTGCTTACCCACTCACGTTCTCTCAGTTGTTCTCCACAAGTAACATGTCGCCTCGTACGGCGTCTATCAGGATGACAAATCGTTTGGACTCTTCGTCTTCGTTCTTCGCTCTGTCGCTATGCCTTGCCCTTCGCCGCTGCCCACGGACGGCCAGGCCTTCGTGACGCACCGACCGACCGACTCGGCATCGACGGCGACGGCCGACCGCGCGACGCATTCGGCCGTCGAGGTCGAGGAGTTTTCCAAAGGATCCCATTCTTGCTACTAGTTTCTCCTTGTTCCTAGTAGCAATGCCAGGAGCTATAGTAGCTGCTTGCTCTGTTCGTAGCGATGCCCTTTGTTCCGTTCGTAGCTTCTTGTTACTAGTAGCGATGGCCTCCAAACTAATAGCGATGGCCTCCACCTTGTCGCATCAGCTTTGCACACAAACATTTGCGGAACGATCGGTCAAGCAGGTTGAACAAATACCGCTAAGATAAGGTGAGCACAATTTAGATGTAATAGTCATAGTGGGTGTGGCACGATGTCAAACGCGGGGGGCAGCATGTCATCCACAACAGGTTGTCAACTTGCCAACCGTTGCCAACAACCATTTCGAGGATAGAACCGGCGCTTGTGCCCAAAGTGCAGGGATTTGAGAACTTTGCGGTTTGATGAATGATTCCACTTCGCTGATCAGTGTGTGGACCAGTGAGCACCACTACACATGGCTCTTGTGGAGTTCCGTGACAACGCCACACGACACGCTTCCGTGGACGCGGACAGGATGGTGAATGCGCGACGTCATCCGTCCAACGACCTTTTGACCGCTGTGCCACAGGTTTCATGTTGACGTCCCTTAGTGTTCGTGGTGTCGCTAGCAGGGTAGGCGTCCAACGCAAGAGCCTGGCGGAACGCATCGCAAGAACCATGTTTTTGCCGCGGGTGTACGGAGAGATCATTTTCATTGAAATAGATTCGAAATACCGTGCCTTTTCCACAATTGAGGGTTTCACCTGCTTCGCATGTCTTTTTCATGGAGCAGCTGCGCACCCCCATGAAACGTCAGACGCTTGCTCAGCTGTGTGGCGATCACAGATGTGTTTCGTTTTCCGGGGTGTTGTTTGGATCAATGATGAGCTAGACGCCACAATCCCCAAGAATGTTTTGGAGTTGGCCAGCCAACCTGTGACCATCCACACAGTCCAAAAATCAACATACAACATATATAATCATAAACATATAAATTCATATAAACCCAAGGGGTCGCAAGGGTGTGAAAAGAACCTTGCGAATCACAGCTAATGTATATACGCACATGCACAATACATATGTATATATGATTACTGCAAATGCAGATATATGCGTGAAGTCTAGTGAGCACGGAGTTTCAGCTCAGTGAGGGCAGGAACCCCCCAGATCAGACGGGCCGCTGAGGGTGTTCCGGTCTGGGTTGTCATAAGAGCAGGCGACAGGCATGGCCACTTCAATGGAAGTGCTGTTGGAGTTTGGTGTGAATAGAGGGTTGTCCCCTAAGGAAGTTGAGAGAAAAGGTTGCTTGAAGGCTTAGGTCGGCTCGACCAAGGATGGTTGTCCAAACACCTCTGAGCATGAGCTCGGGGGGCCGCTTGAGGCGGCGGTGGGTCTCGAGGTTGGTACACCTGACCCCACCTGAGCGGCGTTCAACAACTCCCCTTAAACTTTGCGGCTGTGAAATAAGGCCATGTGGCGTAAGCGTGCGTAAGCAAAGGTGAAGCTAAAAAAACTGAACGGTTTGTTTTCAACATGTCAGTCCACGTTGCCTGGACTTTTACTCAGCACCGCTCTGCTCAAAAGATTGCCTCCAGCACCACCAGGATGGCTGCCCCAAAGCGAGCAATAGAGGAGAACATCTGCCAAGGCCAGAGCTCTAAGCAGACAAGCTGCAAAGAAACGCTGGCAGGCCTAGTGGTGATGTTCCTGCCTCATGTTCATTTTCTTCCTTATCATCAAGTGAGCCGTTTGCACCTTGACTTGATTGACCCTGGAAGTTTGCACTGTGGCTTCGTGTGACACACTGTCTGCGTAAACTTTGTGTCAGCTTTCATGGAAACCCTCGTGTGCGCGTAAGCTCTCGTGGGAAAACATACGGTAAGCGCAGTGGTAAGCGTATGCCCTGGCGCAAGCACATACTTACGACATCAGCCAGAGAATGGACACTTTCTGACCACCGCCACCTACATCAAATACGGCTAACAGGTTTGTGTGCGGGCTGAATGTTGCGTTGGCAAAGCCAAAGGGCAGCGAGCACCTTCCATTCCTGCAGCTCTCAGTACGTCGGGAGGTGGAGGTTGCTAACCGTTAGGGTATGATTCAACAGAGCCATACTCGCCATTTAGCGGTCCGGAAGGGGAAAGCTGCTAATGAGTCGGTGGCCGCCAGCCTGGCAGGCACCTGTTACAACGCCCTCAGAGTGTCCAGACGGGAGCTAGTTAAGGCGCGACCCCGCTTGAGGCCGCAACAGTGGGTGATGTAAGAATGCCTGTGTTGGAGATGAAACTCATCTAGGACGAGGCCCACTGCGGGGCGCTGCTTTTTGAGACCCTAGAGGAACCTGGTTTGGAGGGTTGTGAGCAACAGGTTGAGGAGGCGCTGTTGACGAGATTGGCTGCTCAAACCAAAAACACTCAGAGTGCCCAGAGTACCCTCAGGCTTTGAAAGGGCGAAGGTTTTTTTGTTGGATGATACGATTATAGAGCTTTTCGCCCATGATCACCCGGGGGCTTTCTCATCAGCGCAGGACATGGCCTTACTTTGGAGTCCAACCACACGGTGATGAACCCAAATCAGGGGGTTGAGGAAAAGACGCGTGGCATTAAAACGCCGGCTCCGTTGAAGGTTGCAACCTGGCGCAGCCGAGCAGGAACCGGTCCCCGGATGGAGCGAGTCATTGGCCAGAAACTATTGGCCCCAACGTCTCGACAATTTGCCTGAGCAGTTTGAAGAAAATGCTGTGGTGCTTGTGCTGCTTGTCCAAGCTTTCAGATAGCATCATCACTGCCCGCCTCTAAACCTGGGCATTTGGTCAAGCTGCTTGATGTAGCTCCCGGAGTGGACTGGAAGATCCGGTGAAATGGGCACACGAGGCCACATATTGTGCGTCTCCGCCAGTTGACCGCGCCCCGAACATGTGGTCCAATTGTTGTGACTGGTTTGTTAGGTCAGCGTGCGGGGTCTTGGTTTCAACAGTGGTGACTTGAAGTGTTTGTGTTTGACGGTGTTGCCCATGCGTTTCCGCAGTGCGTGCATGCTGTGCTGTGCTGTGCTGTGCGGTCCATAGCCAGCTGTTGGAGACTTGTGGCTGGCCACCGCGCGGTCTTGGTGGAGGAGTTCTTCCCGGAAATGACAAAGATGCATCGTCCGCC